CCGTCAAACTTTTGGCGGCAGAGAGAAAGGCAATTTACCGGCGCCGTGGGAAGGACGAGGCACGAACAGAGGAACGCACCCGCACCTACCAGCTGTGGCAGGAGGGCTGGGAACAGGAGACACGGGGACGCTGGACCAGGCGACTGATACAGCAAGTCCAACCGTGGGTTAATCGGCGGTACGGAGAGGTAGACTTCTACCTCACCCAATTTCTGACGGGACACGGCTTTTTCCGGTCGTACCTGTTTAGGATGGGCAAAGCCGTGTCACCCGATTGCATATACTGCCCAGGCATTCTCGATGACGTGGAACATACATTTTTCCACTGCCAGCGCTGGGAAAGGCCCCGCCTGGAGGCTCAACAGTTAGTAGGACTGCTGTCGGTGGACACGGTCATACCGATGATGACGGAGGGTGAGGACTATTGGACCTGTGTGTCACATTACATCCAGAGTATTCTCCGCGCCAAGAAGTTCGACCTCGACCGGGATGCGGTGTAGGTCATAAAGAATCAAAATGCCAGAAACGGTGCGAGCCCTGAGGGCTTAGGTCACATGTTGACCTGACTTGAAGTAATGTGACAAACAATTCCAGGTCTGTGTCCAACAGAGTAGAGGGGGCTTTTTAGTGAGTAGTCTGATAATTTCAGGAGTCTCACACTACAGGCTGGCTACCTGTGTGCGTAAAAGCATTTTCCCTCCTCTCCCTAAAAAAAAAAAAAAATATTGACATATTGTCTTTCTGAACGAAGATTGTTTGCCGTAGTTTCTTTACTTAAAACTTCAACTAAAACTAATCTCACAATTACTTCAGATGAATAGTTATTTTTTTGGCAAAATTTGAAATGCGGAATAATAAGCTAAACTGCGTATCAACAAAAATCTTATATATATATACAAAATCCTTGGCGATAGTTCAAAATTACAAAAAGCAATGTTTAAAGTTAGGACTTTTCTGAGCAGGTTTGTGTAAAAAAGAAAACTTCTAATTAATTTATACTGGATAAAGAGTCCCCGCAGGGTCATGAGTAGCCTTTCTGATGTTTAAACTGTTTTAGTTTTAATTGCTTTATGAAAATTAGTAAGAAAGTTGAAGCCATCTTATTAGTACCTTTGTAAGTTTGGCTATTGCTGTTTTCAACTTAAGTTTTGAATAACAGATAGACTTATACAAATACATGGGTACTTTAATGTTAATTAGATTGCATATTTAAATGTAATAATCCACGAATTATTATCATTGTCATTCACGATCCTGCCAAGCTCCTTGCTTTACCGATCGATCTATGATTATCAATATATTCACACAGCTATTTTACACACACAGAACATTATTACATACAGACAGTAACACAGTTACAGTTATAGTACAGGTACAGTTATTTTTTATCAATATACTTTATCAATATATGTTATCAATATTTATCAGCTATACTACCAAGTTTGGGCTGTAATTTAAAATGCAGTACACTCGCAAATGTGGTGAGGATTTTTTTCCCAGGACGAAGATCATCTTTTCACCATACATCTTTTCCCACGAGCCCGGGATTGTTTTTTTCACATTACTTCAGATGAACCACTATAAATCATGTGATTGGAATTTCTTCCATTGGTTTTGATTGTGTGTTTATAGTGGATTTTTTTTGTCACCATGCTGGCAACCCATAATGTCCATGTTTTTTTTATATTTTAAGTTTTTTGTGTGCATATTTTTTGAGTTTATTATAATTAATTAAAGGATTCTGCATATCTACTCTACAGGAAAATATCTTCCCAACAGTATGCGTAGATTTTCCCTGCGATGCACACGAGCTGAGAAAAAAGTTTTAAAGAAAAATGCTTGCTTATTAATGTATTGATAGAGCGGAAACTGGAATCATCTATGTACGGATGTACATAGCCTGTTAACTGATGCATTGCACAATGACATGTCAATTGTTTTAAAAACAAGACATTGAATCATATTTTTGAATCATATAAAATTTTGTATATTTTGTGGGCAAAGACTAATTATTGAAAGAAAATAGTTCGTACTTGAATTTACCCTACTTATAATTTCCGCCAATAACTTTATCATTTTAAATACTCTATTAATTAAATCGGTCACTTATTCCAATTAATTCAGAATAGAGTTCAAAACTTAAATCTAATGTACGATACTGATTGTGGTTAAACATTCGACTGAAATAAGCCTTCAGGCTATTTTTAAAGGAAATTCATATAATTTTTAATATTGTAAGTCAAGTTACCGGCCTATCTTGATAAATACCATACAAACACAGAAATTAGAAAAATGTACTTAAAACATTAGCCCTTCACGAGCGTCGCGAGGACTGTTGACGCATCCCGCATGACAGAAAACATGAAGTTTACAGTAATGGTTGTAGCAAGGATTCTTCCATAGACCTGTACTGCACGGTGAACGCGGAATTGAATAGAGCAGCTCGCTCCCAAGGTACGTTATTATCGTACTAATTGCGAATGCAGAATAAATCTAACATAAACAAAAGTATAAGAACATAGGGTTAAGTCACAAAACGTGAACTGTATTGTCATTTATTAATTCTTCTAATTCGACAATTGAACTGCTGAATTCTGCTTGATAAAACAACTCACAAATTAAAAAGAAAATCTCTAACTATTTTACCAAGATAGGGGGTTTCGTAAAAAATTTCTTTAAAGCTATACAATTTATATTACAACATACCAATACTGATTGATAACACTGTTTTGGTGCGATAAAGCTATTGTAATCTGTTTATGTTATGGAAACATTATCACGTTAAGTAGTGTGGAATGGCTCAGATAAAAGCTATTCAGGTGGTCATAACACAACTCATACATCCAAGTTATGACTTTATAAAGCATAACAATCCCATAAACCTCGCAAGACAATATTTATATGCATAACACAGGAGTCGGGCCTTTATTTACATCCTGATATTAATGTTTGCAGCCAATCCAAAAAGGAAAATGTAATGCAAATTATAGAACTTCTCCTTTTTATTGTTACCTACAAAGGCGGACACAGTTTCCAACTCAAGACGTTAGCTATTTCGAACATAGATAAATAACATGAATACTAGAACAGAAACGGTATGGATCATAAACATAAACAAATGACGTTGCTGGCCAGAAAATAAAAATTTTATAACATTGCTTAAATGAATTTGTCGAAACCATATGTCATTACTATTAGTATAGAATTCGGGCCAGCAACGCTATTTGTTTTATGTTTATGATACATACCGTTGCTATTTAAGTATTCGTGATAAATACCAATACCGATTAATCCCGTTCTCTAATTCTTAGAAACTTTACTGATCATTGGTCGATATAAGGGCATTGCATAATGGCTGTAAACACTTTAAAAACTATTACTACATCGTTATATTATCATTTTATCCACTTTCTTCTTCTATAATGATTTATTGTACTACCAGTTTTTTAGGGGTGAGGTTTGACCGTTAAACCTAACTTTGTCTGAAGAAAAGTATGTTGGATTCTTTGGACATTAAATTTAAATTTAATTTAGACAAATCAATGTTGGTATATTTTAAGAATTTCTCTTATGTTATACTTAATCCTAATTGCATGTGTATAATGATCCTATTTGTGAATTAAAATGTCAAATTCATGCAAGCAGTTATATATTGTGAGCTTTTTTTATGTTATAACATTATTAATGTTTATAAATTTTATTGAACACATTTACATAAAGTAATTAAAAGAATGCAATAGTTTTAGGTGGAACAATTCTACTTCAAATTCAATAAAATATCATCAATGCTCCCAATTTATTTTCCACTCCAATAGTATTTAATTTAGAACCAAGAGCACCAATAAAATGGTCATTATTTAGTTTTTATTGGCACTGACTGTCATCGTTGAAGTCCTTTGGACCAGTTGATAAAGCGATTTAACCAGACCTATTCTGCCACCATTGTATTTCATGACCTGGCTAAGTGTTGGATGGGAAATATTTCTAAACAGCGTTGTTACTAGTGATTACTGTAAATCCATCATAAGCTTAAACTATTATCAACCTTCAGGATGGTCTCTTCAGACTGAAAGCATTCAATATAAAACATAATATGGCAAGTTCAACAATCGAAGAGAAATTTATTTTATTAAGTGTTTTTTATTAATACTTGTTTTTTAGGAAATTGTTATCAAAAATAAAATTTTAATTATGATTATACCACTGACATTTTGAAAAATCGACTTTTTGACTTTCTTAAATCTCAGCAAAACGATATTATACCTTAAAAATATTATTTAATCCCAAAACTAGTAATCACGATTTATCTTGACATTAATAAACACCACACATCTGAACTAAGATAATCCAAACCGCAAACCAACCTATCACAACTCAAATCTAAGAGAACGAGCTGAACGTAGTTCAATGTAAACCATAGTCTTTAAGTATTCGAGCATATTCAAACAAACCCTGAAATTGCAAACGTTTCACCTGTCTATAAAACACCGACACAAATATTTCTGCCACGATTTAGTATTGGTTGAGGGTTATTATTTAATCAAGATGTTTCAAAAATGAAAAAAAAAAACTGTGAAAAATGCATATTACGTTGTTTTGGCATACATTCAAATTGTTGATATCAATTTAATTTTGATACTAACTAAACTGTTTTCAATTGTTGAACCACCGTGCATATTTAGTTCAAATTCACCTTTTTTAGTACCTTACCAAAGTATTGCTACTGAAATTTCACTGCTAGCCATTACTAACTCATCTGACTTTGCAGTTGTTAATATTACCATAGAATCAATACATCTATGATATTACGTTGAATCTTTGATGTTATGGGTTTATGAAATAGAAAATATACATAAACAAAATGAGTTTTATCGTAATGTGTTGATAAAACATATTATGTTACATGCTCAGCGTGTACGGTCATTCAAGTTATTATGGTTACTGTTCTAAATGTTCAATTGTACCTAACATGTGATATATTTTTGTTATCCTTTTTCCAGATATGATCCAGGACTGTTCCCTGCGCCAGTTTAAGTGTAACAACACTAAGTGCGTGCAATTAACATGGATGTGTGATGGAGAAGACGATTGCGGAGATAACTCGGATGAAGATCACATGGAATGCAAAGGTAAATCAACATTATATTTATATGCACCATACTGCAACATAGAGTATTGCTCTTTATAGTTGTGACACAACAATATTTCTTGATAGCGGTCGTTCAAAATCATGGCCTTGGTAAGTCTTGTCTCAACTAAATTCATTGTAAACATAACACAAATTCTTCTTCAGCTTGGTGACTTTACTAATAATATATCTATAAACTAATTAATTCTATAGGTTAAAAATTGCAGTAAAATAGATTGCGTATCTTTGTTGTCGTTATTTAAGGTTTGTCCATACAAGGGTAACATTTTGCGTTAAAAAATATTCTTTAAATTGTCCCTAAGAAAAAAAGAATACCGATACACGAGATAAACTAGAAATTCAAATTAAAACCTATAAAACTTTTTCTTGGAATAAAAAAAAAATTGATGTTTCGAATTTTAAATGTGGTCATAACTGTCTAAAAATATTAACTTTATTTGTATAAAATATACCAAAAGTGTGAAATACATGCAATAAGTTAGAAAATCGTCAGTGTTTCTAATCTGAAGGAGGATGTATTATGTGTGGAGATCAAAAATATGAAAATAAATTTTCCAGTATGATTTAATAACACCTTTTAACTATTAAAATTTACAACAAATCATATATGAAAGAGTATTAAATGTAATGCGATTACATGTATGTTATCAGTGGTTAGACTCAAACTTTGCAAAACTCACATTTATTTTTAAACCAACTATAACAACGTTTGAATGCAACATAAAACTAGACAAAACAGATGTTAAAGCATAAATCTGATAACACTGTGACAATGGCATGTAACATGTTGAGCTGTTATCTTATCAGCGTTCAACAGACGGGGCTGGCGTTGTCCCAGTGACGAATGAGCTGGACAAAATCCCACGAGATTCGGACCTCTTATCAATGCCTTTGTCCACGGTTTGGTTTTCTGTTTTTTTTTGTTTTTTTTTTTACCAGAAATATACAGAAAGAAAATATCCAATACAAAAATTTTGTATTAAAAGCGATTGTTTCTCTTGTATCAAGTAAGTATAAATATGATATACGGTCATATACATAGGGGTATATACATAAGAAGGGGTCAAATGCATTGATTTCGATGTAGCATTTACCTGGTTAGATGAGCCTACCTGTGTAACGTGTTCGGGAAAGCAAGGGCCCAACCGGTAGCCGTTATAGTGCCGAATTAACTGATAATTTTTACTGGTGGCGCTGAAATGTGAGCCCACTGCCACTACATAGCTGCCTCGAATTCGTTGCGAGTCATGTAACCGACTGAGCTATCGACTCAACTCTTTGTCTATGTCCATAAAAGTAATAATATTGTAACCAAATATGCTAACCTGGGACAATAAACAACCAAATTACAATGCATACATGATATCCATAGTGGCAAAAGTGTGGATACTACCTATGGCATTTCCCTTGTCATTATTTACAATGTTATTTGTTATCAAAAGTAATTTAAAAATAAATCTAACTTGTTAACAATAATTGTTCTATTGTGCCAGTAAATATTGTAATCTTTTAAATGTTTTGTAAGTCGAAAATTTTAGTTTACTTAGTACGTAACCTATAATGCCAGGGAAGAGCTAGAGACATTACCAAAAGGATTAGATCCTATTTCGTATTGCCTGAGCTTGCAAAGCTATAATCTGTCATTTACTTATTAACTCATAGTATAATAATATAATGTCAAAATAATGACATGATAATTAAAAAAAGTTTGACTTTAGTCGAGGTCTTTATGAGAAAAACAACGCATTGTTTGTTAAATTAGTGAGTTCAATCCATGCAATACTTAATTAAGTACTTCTCTATAATGTAATGGACTAGCAAAGTCCAATTAATTAACTATAATTAACTTTGAAACACATTAAATCGTGTTAGGTCAAGTCAATTACCTGTGATGGTCCTCATTTATTGTTATTGTCGAGTGACAGAGTTCGTTATTGCTTGTTAATTACTTTGCATTGTGCTATAGTTTACTGAATAGTTTACACTCCAATGTAGTTGGCAAAGTCCAAAATATTGCAATGAACTTAACAAAAAACTTGGATTAATATTTGCTTTAACATATATGACCATGTATATTATTTTTCGTTAAGTGGTCGTTTTCAAAAAACCTAACCTTGCAATGTGCTTAAAGTTTTGTATATTAACAATTTCTATACCTTAATTTAACGATTTCTATAATCGCAGTCTAATGTTGTCTTTTAATTGCATTAAGTTTCACGTTTTCGTGATGCTACCTATCCAAAGCTTATGAGGTTTAGTAATCAATATTTAGGTAACATTTGATAATACAACTCTTAAGGTGAATACTAACTATGAAAGTAACTATTACTTTCTCATAGTTTCAAAAGGGCTTATCCAAGCCAAAATTAAATTTACTGGGAATACTTTACTTTTTTGGGGGTGTAAAATTATTGGTTTCTGCATGTCCCGTAAGCATGTTTGTGACACCCTGTATAATAAAACAAAGACGTCGAAATTCCACTTCCCCCACAACTCAATTAAATGCAGATCTGAACCAACAAAACAGTCCACTTTTGAGAAGCCACTTATCAATACAGAAAAAAAATTATTTTATATACCTATAAATTAGTTGACTACTATCAATCACTCAAAAATACAAGATAATTTATGATGATTGCTTTTATTTTAATCTCACAGAAACCTTGTACAAGCTCAGTTCATCGAGCCTGTTAATGATTGATCGTTTTATAAATGTATTGTCAAGAACGATTCTTTCACTGATGTGCGTGTGTCAGGAGATTTGTTCGACGTCGATTAATGTTCTTCCGTTATCGAGTGTGTTTGCATCCTGTCAGTAAAGATTAGAGGTTGTTTTTGATCTTCACCGTATATTTGGTGCGTCTCTATCTTATTCAGCTTCCCGTTGTGGAATATAAAATAAATTTAGCATGTAAAATGAATTTTCATATGCACGTTTTAAAGCCTAATTGATATTTCTAATAATTTAGTTCATTAAAAGTCACGGGTATTTTTGTATAAGCTTTTTCGTATTCCAAGGTTGACACAATTTGTTTAGTTAATGGCTTTATCATATTCAGTTCTTTGTTTATGTATCGTGAACGCTCGACTTAAGTGATGCTGGAGATGAAAGTGACGAATATGGAGATATTTAATATTCCGGATTTATAAAAACGATCCCTGTTTTTTTATTACATTTTACAACAAATAAAATATTAGGTGTTTAATATAGGATTGTTTAACGTCTTATTTTAAAATGATGTATGATTGAATCACACAAATAGAGCCATTGAAAAGTAAAATAGTCTTTCTCATGAACAAAGTTATAAATTGTGCTTAACTAAAGGCTACAAATATAGCTTCAATTTAGCCATCTAACTATTAAAGATCGCATTGACAGAACTATCAAGGTATGATAAACTGAAAGAGAAGAACATCAACAGTATCCATTTCAAAACTAACACAGTCAACTTTTTCTCCTTTATTTAAAATCTTGCTTAAGGTTTAACAAAAATTTGCCTATAAGATGTTAAACTTTATTTAGCTTTTAGTTTTTAGCAAGTTTAAAGTAAAATGTACACTGCCTACTAAAACATACAGTTGTTATTTATAGTTTCCTAATTTGCCTGATACACCTCACTGAATGGAAGAAGTGTAATAGATGATAGAAGCCTTCGTTCAATGCAATCTATATTCAGTGTAGGGTAATGCTTCACCATCCAATTAAGTTAATTACCTGCAATTAACCTTGAACTATTCTAGTAGTTTGAGCTAAAACCGTAATTGGAACAGCCAGGTCAATTGTGATGAGACCTGTTTATTGATATATTTGTGCTGCAACCATTATGTCTACCTAATTAGGTCAAATGCAAAACACTTCATTCGATTATTATTGAACTACCTCTTATGCAGTGTAATGTTCTATCCCAGTTTGATCAAGTTAATTAGGTATAATTACCATCGTAAAACCTTTGATCATTTGATCAATTGTCGTCCAAATAGAACGACAATTTAATTACTTTTTATGAACCTCATTAATTGTCATCATTGTGATGCAGAGCTCCAATATAAATCCTTGTTTGCTAACCGGTAGAACAAAATAAATAAAAGCTGCAAATAGATGTTTTGTCCCTGACTTACTCACTCCTACTTTGTATGTTTAGTTATGCGCACATGTTTAAGGCCGAATGAGGATCATCGATGTATAATAACTCTACATTATATCATAGTTATTATACATTGATGATGAGGACAAGGTTGAAAGTGGCCAGTAAACTTCATAGAAATATAGTTTTCGAGCCGTCTAGTTTAGTAACCAGATAAGTCCACATTTATTTTCAAAATTTAGATAAAATTGTTTTCTAGTAGGGAAACTGCGGTCTATAACCAGACAATAATTTTTATTTTCAAAATTAAATACATCCCATAGCTATTGCAACCAATATCTCAAGTTAGGTTTAAAACCGGATCGATTCTATTGCATAGTTTGTAAAGCATATACTCAAACGCTCAGACTTATTTTGAAAAGCTGATAGATTAAAAAAATTTGATTCAAAAACTTAGATTCAAAGTTATAGATTCAAAAGCTGATAAATATGTGGTATTTATCTGTTTTTGAAACTAAGTTTTGTTTCAATATGTTTTTTTGTTATCTATGTAGCTGCAAAATAATCGAAAACCCTTTTTTTTATTTATCATTGATTGCTTAAATTTAGAATTCGTGTATCCTATAAAAGCGTAAAAAAACTAATTCTATGAAAAAGGTGTTTTATTTTTTTTTCTATTTGCTGAAGAAGAAGAACTTCAAGTATCTGGTTTTGGAACTATACAAGGATTAGTTTTACACTCGATACTACAACCTTTATATCTTCTTTTAAACACCCATTAAATATGCCCAGTTGTTTAATATCTTTTATCTCTTCCCACGAATATATATGTTGTTTGCTTGAAAACGCTTGCTATACAATATAAGGTAAAAAAGCTAAAATTTTTAGAATAACT